TATATATGTATATATATATACATTATGCAATTTACCTGTTTATAAATATTTACTGTAATTATATTATTTTATAAAATATTAAAAATTAAATACCTATGGGGCTTACACCTCGCTGAGGCATATGTAAAACGCCTCGCCTTACGCCTACACCTTTTAAAACACTGGTGCCCACCAGAGTGACTCTTCGAGACCCCTAATACCTCTCTCCTCGCCTCCCTTATAAAGTTCGTCGTCGTCATCTACATGGCGCTCGCGTCCCCGCTACTCATCCAAGCTCCCAGAGCTGATAACCTCCCCTCGAACACCTGAGCTTTATCCTTAGTCAAGGCTCTCCACCTGATCCTCGGTCGTCCTCGAACAGACCTCTTCTTCCTCTTTATCGTGATACCAACATCCATCACCAAGAGCCTATGCTGCATCGCGAGGATCTCCCCCGGGATAACCTTGCAATCCTTACACAACCCTCTATCACACCTTCTGAGGAGGAGGTAGTCAATCTGAGTCTTCGCCATCGTACTCTGGAACGTAACCAAATGCTCCTCCCTCTTCGGAAAACTAGAGTTCGCAATCACCAGCTCAAATGCTTTAGCGAAATCCAACAATCGCACAACAAATAGTTTTTGCAAAACAAGGAAAAACAACAAAATATCTGTTTGTAGTTAACGGAATAACATTTTGGATTTTTCATCACAAATAAGCTTACTTATCAAACCAGACACTCATATTTGGGGGTGGGGGTTGGGGGGTTCAAATTCAAATGCCACCTTAATGTTAACCAGAATCAATTGAATTGGGCTTAATATTAAGGATGTGTCCAACAATTAAGCCAAACGGAGACACAAGAAGCATTGAACCAAATTTAGGTTGTCCTCAATCCAGCGTCAACATCATTCAACATGTATCCAACACCAACCCAACCATGTCCTCTTTTTCCCTTTTATTTAAAATGCAAACACCCATATAACACATGACAATAAAGCACTACCTCTCATATTTATGCTTTTGTAAAGGTTAGTTTCTTCAAGGTACAAAGATTCTTATTTTAAATAAAATATAGTGTCTCCAAATAACTTTTTTCCAAACAGTGGTATCTCGGCCAACTTTCTTTTTTTTGCTTGCACTTTAACTGATCATCCCCCAATACTATGTGCAATGTCTATATAATTTGTATTGAGAAACAACTACAAGCAACACGACCATTGATTGACATAAGATAGCATGTAAAGCCTGCAAAATTGGTGTACACCCTAAAAAGAGGTCTATGCTTGTTACACTATAAACTTCATAAGTTATTCTCGAAATTCTTCCTCAGAGAAAATACTAATTTAATGAAAGAAAGCTAGAAATGACTCCACTCTCCCGTGGATGTGAGGTCCCAAAAAGGGATCAGATGGTCAAGGCATGAAAGCAAGATCCTGGATAAAGTTTGAATCACATCTACAACACCGGTATATTGAGCATCCTTGGAGGGAAGAATACCCGAATAAACTATGTGGACTACATGCAATTTGGTGGAGGCACGTGCACGCTGATCCCGACACTAGTGATGTTAAAAACAATGACACATGGCTAAGCGTCCAGTAGACCACCAATTATAGTTCCAACAAAAGCACACTTGACAATGGCACAAGACCATTTTAAGAGACACCTCCAATTGAGTGGACATCCAGACAAAATTTAAGATGTATATTTTAGAGAAAGATCAAGTTGCTTGACTTTTAACTTCTTCATTTCACCTTTAAATTCTCCAACTTCTAAGTAAAGAACTTTTACGGACTTGGGAATGTAAACACAAATCTTTGTCCGATAATCTTATCCTCAAGCTCAAATCGGACTTGGAGTACATATCTAAATTCAATATGAAGCATGGTCCATATACAAAGTTAACATGACACTACTTGAGCATACTTCCTTATAGCTCACATGTACCCAAGAATGTGGATAGTAGATAAGAGAAGCCATAATTTTCTCTGTACATGTAAAAAGAAACGGGCAAACCGAACTCCAAGCTGTAATAGGTCTGAGATTTTCGGTTTGGCTTGTTGGACTTGAAAAATATTGGGCCAACTAATACATATTTTCGATAAAGTCTTTTTATGGAAAGCTTTTGGTAAGGAGGAGGATGTCTTGCCATATAGCAAAAGTTGGATATCGAAGGTGCCGAAGAAGGTGTGCTTCTTCACTAGTTCACTTGGTAGCAGCTAGAGGGGTGATCTTGACGACCGAGAACCTTTGGAAGTGCAAGGCAATGTTGTCAAAGGCGCACTTAAGCCCCGAAGAGAGGCTCAAAACATGTTGAGCGATTTGCCTAACTTTGTGGGCGCTTTAATGTCGCATCAAGGCTCTAAGGCATACTTTTCCTTACCAATGAGTGTAATCCTGAAAGGGCGACATTAAACAATTGATATTTCGTTTTATCGTAATTTTTTTTTCAATTTCTTTGTCCATATATTTGTTATTCATGTTTATAATTGGACATATACATATTTTTACTTTTTCTTCAGTTGCGCCTTTTTTCATTAAAGCACACGCTTTAGTTGCGCTTTGCGCTTAAAGCCCCAACGGACCTTAGAGCTTTTTTGCGCTTTTCGCCTTTGATAACACTGGCGGAAGGTCGTTTCTATAAGTTGATGTTTCATGTGTAAAGAGGCAGGTGAAGATGTGGATCATCTCCTACTCTGTAGCCTACCGTCGAGGTTACGGTGGGAAATACTTACGTGGTTTGGCATCTCATGGGTATTGCCAAGAATTGTAAGAAAGTTAATGTTTAGCTGTTGTGGCCTTGTGGGAGGAGGAGGAGAAGGTACAGTCCATGCATTGTTGCTCCACTAGTAATCATGTCGGTTATTTGGAAAGAAAGAAATAGAAGAGCGTTAAAATGGGTAGAGATCAGTTCTGTTCAATTGAGGAGTAGCCTCGTATTCCTTATTTTCTTTTGGTGCACCCATGAAGTTCCTTGTTGTATAGAAGATTGGGTGTACTTCGTAGAGAACCGTATTTTTTTCGGTTTTCTATCTTTTTGGTATACTTCTTATATACGTTTGCTTTTGTTTTGGCCTGTTCATTAATGAAAATTTATTTACTTTGATAAAAAAACAGATTAAATAACTAAGACCCCAACATCCAGTAGGAAAAAAAAAGGGAACAAGAAATAGAAGTATGAAAGAAAGAAGCAAGAAAGTGACAACTACCACTCTATTTCCATAGTTCTTCCTCCGGCCTATTATGCCCCTACCTATTTGAATGATTGAGGTCCTTCTTCCTAAGATCAAAACTAGATGGAGACTCAAAAAATGCACTGCATAGACGGACTTGGCAAACATTCAAGAGCAGTGGCCAATATCGTTTGCTTTGTCATTGAACCATTAGGGATCATTGTTTTCATTAAGGATTTCAAATGAAAGATGGTATACCCCAACATCACACACACACACACACACATATATATATAAGGTGGTACACCCCAAGAGTTTATCTTATCCGATTTGCTGAAAGTGGAGGTTCCGTTTGATATTGGCTTCAAGGATACCGTTTAGTCAGGTGGCTGATTTCAACAAGTTAGTGTTTGGTTCGAGTGTTTCTCCTGGACTATAGGTGTTATTAAGTATTGCATGTTGTATCACTGAGGCAGACGGGATGAATGCTCGGAATTTTATCACCGGATGCAAGGAATAAAATCGATAAACTTACTACTCCGGGTACTGTCCATTTTATCTATAGACCGTGATTGAGCCATTACTCTGCTCTATATTCATGGAAACAAAGAGCTGTTCAAAAATCGAACGAAACAAATCACAGTTTTCAGTTTGGTTGCTTTTTACACTCCTAAGTTACATGCAACCGATGTTGGATATAAATTTTCCATGTTTCAATCTTAAGAAAACAGAATTTTAACATACTAATAATTGTTCCCTTTATTAAACACTAAACATAACATACCTTCAATAAAAAAACTAAAGCATCCAATTTTAAATGGAGGAAATTAACTCAAATTCACAAGTGGAAGGTGAGAATTGTATGCAAGTTTAAATGTTTCAAGCTTTATTCTTCCACTTTCATGGTCAGTATCCTCCTTAATTCGTGCCCGGACTATTCAATTTCTTTTGCCTCCAATGCACGCAGAGTTCAATTTTTGGAATCAAATTTTGATCAAAAGTTACATATTTTCCGAATTTCAATGATTAAGATCAAGGAGGAACCTACTTGAGAGCACTGGGAAATAAGTTGTGCCCATGCAGCCCCAACAACATTTGATTTCAGCTGCCGTTTCTTCGCCTTCTCCGCCGCGTCAATCACAGAATGACCTAGAAAAAAGTCCCCAATTATTAACCAAACAAAAAAAAAGATCCGAATTATGATAAAGTGAAAGCACATGCAAAGATAAAAATGGCACCTAGAGTCATGGGTGACACCAAAGGCTCGCCTTCCACTTGATTTTCCGGCGATTTCAGTGGCAGAGAAGCATCAGACGACTTCAAAACAGTAGCAGCAGCAGCCAGATCAGCCGATCGAACCTCTTGCTCAGCAGATTCATTCACCGCACCCTGGGTTTTTCCCCCTAGGGTATCATTAGTTGATGATAGCGCCTCCGCCGCCTATAAAACCGATCAAATAAATTAAACACAAAAAAAGACTATTTTTTTCCTTTTTCCAGATACATGCAAACATGTATGTACAAAAACAGATATCATCAATCAGATCAAAATTCAAAACAAAACCGAACCTTGGAGCGTTTGCCATTAGGGAGAGGAGACGATGAGGGAGAAGAAAGAGGGCGTTTGGAGGAAGAGGAGCTTCGTCTCGTTTCCACCATGTCTCGATTGGATCCACACACAGAATTACACAAGTAAAATCGATTGCGATATATATATAGAGAGAGAGAGAGAAGGGGAGAAGGTGAATGATTACGGGACGATCAGTTATCAAAGCTCCGCCGGATGATGAATTTATTTATAGATTTTAAAAAAAGGGAGAGGGGTTGGGGGAGTAGAGAGGAGTGATGCGGCAAAAGAGGTTCTACAAGTTTGGGGGAATGAATTTTTTGATTTTATAGGCTTCGGGTGAGTCAGGTAAACACCGTGTGAACCTGAATCAGGGTTTTGTTGAGCAATAGTGTCGTAGGAATCGGCAGGGTTAATTTTGGTGAATTAAAATTTCATATGTCAAAAATTAGGTCCTACCCAGAAAAGGAAAACAAAAAATAAGTTCTAATTCAAAATTATTCAAATTTTATGTGGATTTGCATTGGTGAAGCATAAGTCGTAGCTCAACTCCCTTAACTCATTCAACAATTCAATTTGTCTTTTTATTTCCTTTCTCTTTAATTTGTTTGTATATACAAAAGTAAGTTTCTAAATAATGATTCACTGTGTAATACAATAGTTTTTGTTTTTTCTCTCTTTATATTTTGTAACGACACGATGCTAATTTTTTGTTCGTTATTTCTTAATATTTTTAAATTGACCCGACAGTTTAAATATTTTTATACTATGCTTGTTTCAACTCTTAAAATAATATTCATACTCACATAAACTCGTTTAAATTTTGGTGAATTTGACAAGTTATACTTGTATTGTTCAAAAATAAAAAAGAACGGAGAATCAAACCTTAGCCACAAGATCCTAGACACTCTACCAACTCACTCTACATAATATTAGGCACTACCAAGAAATAATATAATTGTCTATAAAGGGTACATCGTTATATCGTTTGTTTGAAAAAACAAGATAGATGACTTACTAACGAGTAGTAAAAATTGTTAGACTTTAAGCCATTGGGCTTTAAAGTAGAAGACGTGTGAATTGGAAATGGAGGGAAATTGAAAATTTGAAGAAGTGAACTTTTGTCTTGCACTTTGTCCCTCATTGGTGAGGGACAACCACATTTGTGTGCTTATATATAGAATCACTTCTTAAAGCTCTTAAAAGGAGTTGAAGAGAATGAACCCTCGCGTCGTCGTCGTCGTCGCTCGGCTTTGGATTTGGATTTGTCAAATGATCGATCGATAAGATTATTTTTGGACAAAATTTATTTAATTATTTAATAATTAATTAAATGCCAAATCACTGCTGAAAATACACCAGAACCTTGCTGAAGGTTCAGAGGGCCTCTCTGGCCGCGGTTCTGCCGCGACCGCGGTAGAACCGCGGCAGGCAGGTTCAGAAAGCCTCTCTGACCGTGGTTCTGCCGCGACCGCGGTAGAACCGCGGCAGGCAGCGTATTCTTCTGAAAAGTCACCTTTTCCAGACACCTCTTCTGATAATTGCCTATAAATTCTGAGGCAAGGCTCCATTTTCTACACACGAAAAACACTCCAGAACTTCTTTCTTTCTGAATATACTGCATTCTAATTCGCAGTCTCTCTCTCTCAAATTCGTAAGTGTGATTTTGCTCCGTTCTTTAAGTTCGTTGGTATCCTGCAGTTTGTATTGCCACTGTTGCAGGAAGGTTTATTCCGTTTTATCCTGGGAGGATTTAATCCATTACCTTGGCAACGTGTGAGGGGGTTAAAATTCCTTAAGGGCACACAAGCAAATTGTGGACTCGGAATATTTCTTAAACTCTTCTGTTTTTCCAGTTTCTTTTATTTTTCTAACAGTTTTTTTTCCTGAATTTGTGTTTTAACACAGTAGCGCTTACAAGCTTAAGGAATTTTAAACTAACGTTTCTGTGTTGAAACATATATTAAACTGTTATTCATATTTTGTATACTGTTTTGGAGACTAAAGCCTTCGTGATTTCTACTCCAATAATTGTTCTGTCCGATTTAAAGTATATAAAAACTTTACCGGAATAATAAACGTACGGGTTTGAAGTATAAACTTCACCATTGTTACGTGTTGTATGTTTGGTTTGGTATTCAGTTTGAAGATATCAAAACTTCACTGATTTAACAAAGTTCTGTTGTGTTTCCAACTCTACAGAAAAGATGACGAACGAAAACCAAACTAATGGAAATGTTGTGGGAACGGGAGCTACTGTTACGAGTGCTGCTGCCTCGTCAAGCCGTTCTACTCCTGCTCATGCTATGGCACCGGCAGAAAAACCCGGAAAGTTTTCCGGTATTGACTTCAAACGCTAGCAAATGAAGATGCTCTTCTATCTTACTACGTTGAGTTTGCAACGTTTCATCAAGGAGGATCCTCCGGTCATGGCTGAAAATACTCCGGATGATGAACGACTTGTTGTAACTGAAGCATGGAAACATTCTGATTTCCTGTGCAAAAATTACATTTTGAGTTGTTTGGAAGATGGCTTGTACAATGTCTATAATGTCATGGAAACTTCAAAAGCGTTATGGAATGCGCTTGAGAAGAAATACAAGACTGAGGATGCCGGACTTAAGAAGTTCGTGGCTGCAAGGTTCTTGGATTTCAAGATGATTGACACTAGGTCGGTCATAACTCAAGTCCAAGAACTACAAGTCATTGTACATGACCTCCTTATTGAAGGTATGGTCATAAATGAGGCCTTTCAAGTCGCTGCTTTCATTGAGAAGTTACCTCCGCTGTGGAAGGATTTTAAGAACTATCTTAAACACAAACGGAAGGAAATGACACTAGAAGACTTGATTGTTCGTTTGAGGATAGAAGAGGACAACAAAAATGCAGAAAAGAAGTCACGTGGACACTCGACAATAATAAGGGCTAACATTGTTGGGGAGGCGCCACAAAATAAGAAGAGAAAGAAAGCTTATGGACCAAAGAATTTTCCAAGCAAGAAAAAGTTCAAGGGTAATTGCCACAACTGTGGAAAATCTGGGCATAAGGCTGTGGATTGTCGTGCGCCAAAGAATGATAAGAAGAAAAAGAATCAAGCTAACATGGTTGAAGATGAAATGGAAAACTTGTGTGCCATGTTGTCTGAATGCAACTTGGTAGGAAATCCGAAAGAATGGTGGATAGATTCTGGAGCCACCCGCCATGTTTGTGCTAACAAGGAGTTATTTTCTTCTTATGCCCCCGCAGGTCCTGACGAGAAAATCTTCATGGGAAATTCATCTACGGCCAAAATTGAAGGAGTTGGCAAGATTGCATTGAAGATGACGTCGGGAAAAATAGTGACTCTAAACCAAGTCCTCCATGTTCCAGAAATTCGCAAGAATCTTGTGTCTACCTCACTTCTTGTCAAGAATGGATTCAAATGTATTTTTGTTTCTAATAGTGTTGTACTAAGTAAGAACGATTTGTATGTAGGAAAAGGTTACCTAAATGAGGGTCTTTTTAAGCTAAATGTAATAGCAGTTCCTATCAATAAAGTGAATGCTTCTTCTTACTTGCTTGAGTCAAACACTTTATGGCATTCGCGTTTAGGTCACGTAAACTTCAAAACATTGCGAAAGATGATAAA